GTTTGTTTTCCCCAGCTTATACTAAAGACGAATTTAACTTCATTATCGTTTCCATTTTAGTAGTTCCTCTGGTTCCCACTTTGTTCGTCGATTCCCGACGAACGCTACACATTATTAATGCGGTTTAAATAGTTAAGTTTTGGATTGTGCAGGAAACAGTTTAAAATTGGGAAACCAGCTTGGGATAAACAATTTCTATGGCGTAACAGAACTCTATATTTTACGGTCATTTTCTATTAAGTTGAATAAAATTAAGAGTATATTATATACCGAGTTAAAATACCTCGAAGTTTTTATTTTGAGAATGAAAAATGTATTTAAAATATTTTATTTTTGTTTTTTGATATTGCTAACGTTTCAAAACAGTAAAGCCCGTTTCACCGTGTACTTGGATGCTGCCATGTAATTATACTTATCTGTATGCTAAAGAAGAAAACATTTGACCAATGTGTACTGCTAGTCATGACCTATGCATGCGAAACCTGGACAGTTAAAACGGACATCATAAGGAAACTGCAGGTCGCGCAACGTTCAACGGAACGAAATATGCTGGGAATAACCAAGAGAGATTGTAAAAGAATAGAGTGGATACAGCAAAAGACCCAAATAATAGATATCATCCACAGAATCGAATCCCTCAAATGGCAATGGGCAGGATACCTGGCAAGAAGAACGGACAACAGATAGACAAAAAAATTACAGCATGGTACCCACGAGGAATTAAGAGACCTAGAAGAGACCGAACCTGAGATGGGACCATGAGATTAAGAAATTAGCAGGGATAACTTGGGCCCGCATAGCCAACAATAGACAACATTGGACCCAACTAGAAAGAGAGTATGTGAGGGAGGCTACACCATAATTGGAAATGGTTGAATAAGCTGAAAATGATGATGATATGGATGCTCGCGCCCCTCACTTGTACGCTGCTTATGTCTTTTAAATAATTAAAATAAACTGTTTTATCTAAGCACTGTTGCCAACTTAGCGGGAAAAAATAATTTAACAGCTAGCGGTTTATGGAGCTTACTAACCAGAGACAGGTGTGTAATGAGATCAAACTGAGGAAATGGAGGTGGATTGGTCGCATATGAGGCGTCAAGTTGCAAAACCCGCCTTATCGATTTTTTAAAAAAATGGCCCAATGACATATATTAATAGTGAAATCTGCATAAACATAATCCCAAACTGCAGTGAAAGTCGTCTATTTCTATATAAAATTCACTACAAATTACGTTACTGCAGCAAAATCTGTCTAATAAAAGCTACTTATATTTGCTTTTTATTATTATTATTGTTTAGAATTTAGAATTTAGAATGAGTGAGAGGGGGGTTAATCACTGCGACCTTACATATCTATTGTGTCCCCCTTTCTTGGGTTATAACTCATCATACAGTCCCAGGGCTTTGACAAAAGCCAGTATCTGGGACGGTTTTATAGAGATTCTCCATCTCCAATATCAGGCGTACCAAAGTTCCTAGCACGAATGGTTGTCGTCTCGGCGCACTCAGTGATGAGGTGTACTGGTGTTTCCCCATTTTCCCCACAGAATCTGCATTCGTCGTTTCTTCTTAGTTTCAATCTACTGAGGTGTTCATTGAGGAGACTTTTTAACAGTGTCCTGTTAAAAACCTCGTGACAATCCGAAGCTTGTTCTTATTTAAACCCAGGATGATCTGTGATTTTTCTTGATCGTAAGCCCTCAGAAAATTCTTCGAGTGTCTTAGACCGTTGCAAGATTCCCATTCCAGGTTGCGGATGGAATCTTCCAAGTTCTTGAGTTCCGCCTTGAGTTGGTTACCACTTGGAAAGCAGAACGGTTCTGGTCCAGTTAGTGGAGTGTTCGCTCCTTTTCTAGCTAGATCATTTGCTTTTTCATTGCCTTCTATCCCTTGTTGAGCAGGCACCCAGAGTAGGAGGACTTTGTTTTCTTTGCCTAATTTATTCAGCGTCTCTATACATTCTTTGACCGATTTCGAATTGATTGATACTGAGTTGATCGCTTTTAACGCTGCTTGACTATCAGATAATATGGCTATTTCTTGTTTCCGATAGTTCCTATCTAAGATAAGTTGTACGCATCTTTCGATAGCGTAGATTTCTGCCTGTAGGATGCTAGGGTAAGTGCCCATTGGTTCGGAGTATTTAGTTCTCGGCCCAAACACTCCGATCCCTGTTCCCGTATTGGTTTTGGAAGCATCAGTATACCAAGTTATGGTATGGTCTTTTAACTGCTGGGCAAACGTTTCTCTCTTCCAATCCTTTTTATTGCTCAATACTACATTGAGATGTTTCTCAAAGTTGTACGTTCTTGGCATATCGTCCACTGGCAGGAGTTGCAGGAGTGGTATTTCTTTTTTGAGGGTGTTCCAAGCCCCTGATCTGACAATTCTTTTAGTACTGATTCCGTTAGTTACCATTCTAATCATTGTTGCATTGGCATATCTACCATTGACAATGTGCAGTGGTGTTACATCTAGAATGACCTCCATTGCTGCTGCTGGACAGGTTCTCATGGCTCCTGTGATGCAAACACATGCTAGTCTCTGGACTTTGCATAGGTTTAGCCTTGCCGTCCGTTGCTCTAGTTTTGTGTACCAGGCAACTGCTCCATAAGTAATCATGGGTCTTACTATCATGGTATACATGCAGCGCAAAATGTTAGGGGAGCAGCCCCATCTATTTCCGGTCAGTCTTCTGCAGTCATTATTGTTACAAATTCGGCATTTTTTCATAAGCTTTTTAAACAAGTATAATATTACTGCTGACATTTTTTCAAATCCTTACTTAATTTTAATAAAATATTTTTTTTTATAAATCCGGTTAGGATGCAAATACGGTATAATAGAAAAAAAAACGGCATCCAGTTGGCTAGGAAATGACGATCGATGACATTTCCCATATAAATTTAAATAAAAAATAACAGCGTTCTTCATTTCATAGCCAATATGCATCTCAGTGCAACAAAACCCGCCTTATCCGAATTATTTTTGTGTTTTTTCTGTTTAGAAATTAAATATTAATTTTTATTTCTAGAAAACGAGATACAATGATTCCACTAAATGGACACGTTTTTTATAAATTAACGCTTCAAACATTTGCTAAAACAGTTTTTGCTTATTATCTCAAAAGGACGTTTGTGGGATAAGGCGGGTTTTTGCAACTTGACGCCTCATATGAAGGCGAAGCGGCAACAACATCGCTGGCAGAGCTATTAAGTGGAATCCACAAGGCAGTAGGAGAACTGGTCGTCCAAGACACACATGGCAAAGGACAATTAAAGGAGATCGAAGCAGTAAACCGATCATGGCGAGATGTCAAACCAATTGCAAACAACCGAACCCGCTGGAAAGCATTTATTGAAGCACTATGCTCCACGTAGGAGTAAAGGACAAAATGAGCGAATTAGTTTTTTTGGCAGTTTACGTTCTTGAATAATAAATAAATATATTTGACACAAAAATTATTATTTGCATTTTAAAGAACAATTTTTTTCCAAACTTGCATCAATATCACGTAATTTTCATATATTCTTAAAGTATCTAGGTAGCCTACTAAGAACAGAATGGCCTAGAATCTTCGAAGTCACATTAAATTCGTCTGATCACGCGATGAGAGCTTTACCAACATAGGTACAAAAATTCGCGACACGCCAAAATTCAGTTTCAGTATCGCTTAGCGGATTTAATTATTGGAGCAACAAGGACGTCACGGCACTTCATAGGATTATATCAAATGACTTAATCACCATTAAATCTTGGTGCGATTCGAACCTCCTGAGTCTGAACATTTCTAAAACTAAAGCTTTGTAGTATAAACACTCGCTGCAGCCTTTTGTACTTAACAACACCACCTTCCTTAAAATTCTTAGGACTTGTTGTGGACAATTCTCTGAAATGGGACATGCATATCGATGCTTTGTCGAAAAAATTGAGCACTGCCTGTTTTGCATTAAGATCTGTTTCTAAGGAGCTTAACTATGTCAGTGGCTAGAACTGTTTATTATGCACTTTTTGAGTCGCACCTCAGGTATGCCCTTCCATTCTGGGGTACGTGTTGTGCAACTCAATTTGACCGCATTTTCAAGCTCCAGAAGAGAGTTGTTGGTTATTCACTGGGACTAAACAGCAGAACTCATTGCCAGGACTTTTTTAAAAAATTAAAAATATTAACTCTTCCTTCCTTATTTATATTTGAATCCGTTTGCCTAATACGTAAGCATATATCAGCTTCTCAAGAAAGGCCATCTCACACTTATCCACTCAGGAACGTGGAGCAAGATCTTTATCTACCTACCCCACTCTCAGAGTTAGTTAAAAGTTCAATATTATACAACTTGAAAAAAATGCACAATCACCTGCCATTTGAAATCAAATCCATAACATAATTTTCTTCTTTTCGCAAAGCATTGAACTGTTATTTACTAGACAAGGCTTTCTACGCCGTGAAGGAATTATATTTTGATAATCGAATTTGAACTTGTAAACACTGGTCTAATGTTTGCTATTGCTATATTTACCAATGACACCGAAATAAATTTATTTAGAGGTCATTGATATTCACTAGAAACTAACTAAATATTTTTGAATATAATTTTTATTTTTTTTTATTCTTTGACGTTGTAAACATTTATATAAATGTTTATTTTAAACAATAAGACTGACAATGTTATTTGTATAATGTTTTGTATTATCTTTTGTTTGTTTGTGTACCTTGTTTGTTTACTTTGTTTGTTTATTTTACCTTTGTCTACAAATTGTAATTTTTTTTGACAATAGAGGCATTTATTTATTTATTTATTTAAGCGGTTTTTATTTACGAATCTAGCGGGTGTTCGTCAGCGAACTTCGAGAATTCGCAACCCTGTATACAAGTCGAGTTGGAAAGCTTTATAACATTCCAGTAAATAGGCTGACTGCTGCTTACATTTTCATTGTAAACTAACATGTTAAAAGATAAAAATAATCATAAAAACAATTGTAAATAATATTTAACTTACCTTAGGAATGTAAGGAAGAGCATCTTTGAGAGTATTGCGATAGAAGTGGTTTTTCTGCGTTGGATCCTTCATCATTATTGTATCCAGGTATTGCAAGGCGTGAACTGTTGGATCGCTATTAACATAAAATAAATGTTACATTTTTAACAATATTTTTTTATGTTCTCTGCTATTTAACATAAATACATTTAGAAATTGAGGTTAATTGAATTATAAGTACTAGTTTTAATATTAAAGGACGTCAGAGTACGTGGACTTTAAAGATGTAAATATCATAGCTTACTTCGGGTTTTTCTTATAACCGATTCTAAATCGTTCTAGAACTGTGACACTGCAGCAGAAGTTAATATGCAGCAATCTTTCCATTTGTTCATGCGCTGGCTGTAAAGTTCTAGGACGGTCCAGAATCGATAATTCATAAAATTCCTACATACAGAAATCGAGAATGGTAAATAGAAAAGATGTTTCTTTTGACCAGATATATCATGTCTTAAAGTACTTGCACTTTTTTCTGAGACACCTTGTACAAAATATGATAATAATGTTATTCATATTATGAAGATCTCCGAATATAACCTCAGTTTGATATATAACAATTAAGTTTCATCTAAACTAAACAAACTTTATTTAAAGTCGATGTCGTGGAAGTTCTATTCTCGGGAGATGTTACCCACGTAGAACTTCAGACAGTTCATTAACGGGAACGTTAATGGGTTTGACGCAGAAATAATTCGTTCCGATAATTAAAACAATTAGGCGAATTGTACTAGAGCCATTAATTGAGAATAAACGCTATTATCGACGATTTTGCTGTCAAAATAACCGAAGATAATCTCACTGGATAATATTAAACTGTAGATTTAAAAGTTCGATTACTTATTTTTTGACCAAATGCCAAAACGACATTACTGGCAAGTAAAAAAAAGTTTAAAGTTAAAGTTTAAAGATTCATTCAGAACCTCGCAATTAGTAGACTAAATTAGTGGTTTCAATTATACTTTATACTTTTTAGTTTACAACAAGTTTACAATCATTCACAACGACTAAAAAACACAATTAAAATTAATAGAATATCCTAGCAACAGTTTGCGGTAATCAGCTGTATCCATAGAGAAAGCCGAATATTTAGCTTATAAAACAATAAACTTTCGATTTCTAACCACATTTTCTCTTGACGAATGATAATCAAAATCCAAAATGACATTCCTCGCATATTTAGACGAATAATTAGTGGAAAAGTTAAAAGTTTGTTAACTTTTTCCACTAATTGTAAATTCCTACCACTAATTTTAACGTTCTGAATGCACACATTCAAATTAGAGGAACAAACTTCTACCCTAATTGAAACCACTAATTTATTCCACTAATTATGAGGTTCTGAATGAAGCCACAAAACATCCCCCTTTAGAACTTCGTCTGTCATGTTAAGAAATGAAAGTAAATAATAAAGCGCCTCTCGTGTTTGTTCGCACTCAAAAAATTTCAATTAATGCCTTTATATATTTTTAATATATTTTTTAAATTTACATTTTTTAATTGTAAAGTAATATATTACATTTAAATGGAATATATTACATAACAATTATGTCAATTACAGGATTACAAGCTGTTTTCTAACATTTTTTAAATAAAATGAATTATAAAATTTCAATATATGTATGTATATTTGTCGTAGGTATGAAAAAAGTAAAATATAAAATGGACAAACGTTTACTTACATTGCATTAAAACTTCCACTTTTAGTTTTGCAATCCAAACGCAATATTTCTATTTCACAAATAAAAATATCTGACAGCACTAAAATCACTGAAACTTCCGCGGCTGACAACGAAAACTGAAAAATATAACGGCACTTTTTATTTTGGACCTGCATATCAACATTACGCTGTACTATTATGTGTTTGTTGCTGAAATAATATAAAATATCTAATTATAACTTGTAAATTTTAATATTTTAACATGATTTTAACTACTTTTGACAATAACTAAACTTTTTGTTATCAAGATGACATTTTAGACGGCAACTGACATATATGTCATAATATTTAATCTTAAATATGTATGTAATATAATTTGAATTACTATAATGCAACTTTATACTAAGAAAACATTTATACATTCACAAAATACAACAAAGTTTAATAATATAGTTTGAAAACAATGAATATTGAATTAAAATTGAAAAAGTTAAGCGCGACCCCTTGTGTCAAAATTAGATGATTAAATTTTCGCAATTTTTCACCATTTGATGACCGGTGGCGCCTCTAGTGTTTGTTCGGGCGGTTGGGCTTTTACTCCCGCTTATGGCTATTAAAGAAAAAGTTCTAAAGGGGGATGTTTTGTGAATGAAGCTTAATATCTACTACTTAAACCTGACATCTAACTGACATGTGATGGACAACGACATCAAGTATTCTTCGATACATTTTTATTAACTTTTTTACATACGCAAATATTAATTAAACAATATAAATATGCTGCATAAATATAAACTCGTATTAAGTCTTTTTATCGAATCACACTTTGGATTTTTACGGTTTCGTCAACGTTATCGTTTTTGCAATAATATTTAGTAATAATTGCTCCAAATACTAAAAAACTAAATATTGTATGTATATTAGACAGTGTGGTAAAAAGTATAGCACCTTATAAATTTTAATCCATTTTTTGACGAATACTTATTTATAACAAGAGAGACGTTTTCATAATTTATTATTATATTGATTTCTTCAAATCCACAGAATAATTTGTTAATTAAAACAATTAAGTATGTAATTAAATAATTTTTGGGCGGAAATAATGGTAGTATATTTAATTGGTATACTCTTTTACAAAGATTTAAATAGTTTCTTTTTTGTAAACAAATTGGCTTGCAATATTATTATTTTTACCAACTGTACATTTTGTACATAATGTTGTTTCAAAAATAATAAAAGGTCAATATTCCATGGGTATAAATGAGGTCTAAATTATAAGAAAATGCATTTTCTACGAAAACTTGAAGAGATAGGTAAAAAATAAAATACAATTTGATAGGCAATTTAATTGTGCATCTGATTCACGTAAAATATACAGGGTGTTCCGTTTAAATTAAACAAGTTATTGCCGTTTTAATATAATTTTTTGTTTGATACCCTTGGAGAAATGCAAGTCTTAATTTTTTTATTGCAATTTCACAAAATTGAAAATATTTCAAAAACGGTAAGGTTTAAGTTGATAAACCTTAATCAAATTAACCGTTATTTTAATCGTAGAATCTAAAAATAGAATAATATACAGGGTGTTCCATTTAAAAAAATACCACTATAATATTTTTTACTTATTTGGAACACTCCGTATCTTGTAAAAATATTTTTAAAGAGTAGCTCTAATAGTCCTTCAACGAACCCAAAATTTACAATTTGTAAAAATCTAATCGTTTAGCTACAATACTCCGTGTCGTATGTGGTGAACAACCCTGTATAAGAAGTTTTTTACAGAAAGTGTTTCTAAAAAGAGTACAATTTAACCCAATAAAGAGTTATCTCAATTTTTATAAAAAAAATACAGTATCTCAACTGATAAAATAACATTCCGAAACTGTCAAATTACCGCAGGGCGTCTTTTCCACCTAAATACCGGCATGCGGTAACGTTAATAGCGCAAAAACGCTTATTATGACACTTTAACTGTCATAGTTGCCAAAATAACCCCTCCGTTAATACGGCGATATATATTGTTGCCAGATCTCTCTATTATTAATCAAACCTATTTCAAATATTAAAAGATATATAAAATTTCTCTTCACCATCAATTACCGTAGTGTTTTACCATGAAAATACCACTCTAATTTATATCGAATTAACATCTATCAGCAACAACCGACACCGTGAAATAATAAAACAAAGACATCAAAGACGTTAAACGAGTAAAGAGCGAATAGTTTCGCGGTCCGCTGCACGCCGAAAGCGCGAAAATTGCGGAAAATGGGGAGAAGGCGTGACAGCGCGGCGTAAATTTCAAAGGAGGAAACACATCAAATGCACGACACCTAATTGACTTACTCAAAATACTTAATTAGAACTAATAATTGGGCCGTAGGTCGCTGTCGTGTGTCCTTACTTAGTAATCGGACTGCGGCCTCTTGGAGCGGAACGGGAATCCTCGGCAATGTGTTGTGTACTTGATCTTCCAACTGGAAATTAAAACGCTAAAATTAGTGTGGTATACTTTAAAAACACATTTTCATTATAATAAATTTTGTTGAAGTTAAGTTGTTTTTTTTTGTCGTTGAAGTTTTAACTTAAAATATACAGGGTGTCCCAATATTCCGTGGATATAGAACTACTACGTATTTTTGCAATCAAAATAAGTTCGTTTGCCCGTTAGAGGGCATCAGACTGTAAAAAAATAATCACATTTTTTCAGATATTTTAAGAACCGTTATATTCCGATTAAAAGGAGATTATGGATGTCTATATTTTGCTAAGAGCTTTAATACTTTTACAAAATCAAGAAAGAGTACAGGAAGGGTGAAAACTACCCCCACCCCCACATAATTTTTTTGTATAAATATTTTCGAACATTTTTAACATGTTATATTATTTATTCGAAAAAATGTTAAATGAACACAGAGATGAATATAAATTACAACCAGAAGAATTACCATTTAAAAACGGCAATTACCCAACTTAAAAATAAAAGATCAGCCGGCTCAAGGGGAATCCCCAATGAATTAATAAAATGTGGCACACCAAAACTTCACAATATTATTAAAATATTCTTTGAAAATTGTAACAATGGTAAACAAATACCACAGAAATGGAACGAAAGATGGATAACTCCAATACATAAAAAAGTCGCAATTAACATATGTGAGAATTATACAGGGTGGTCCATCGAAAACGTTCCGCAAGGCATAACGGCCAGGGTATTTTTTTCGTTCTTCAATTTTGTTTGTGAGGGGGACAAATTTTGCCCAAAAAATTATTGCAAAATCTTTAACCCTCTAAGCGGGGGTGTCATCCCCCAACTTTTTTCAAATGGGAAGGGGGGTCGAGTGACACCGCAATGAAAAGAGCTTTCTATTCTCTATATTTCCCCGCTTCGTTTTTGAAAATCGGTCGAGTCATTGAGAAAATATGAAGGACTGAAATTTGAAAAGTTTATTTAAATATTTATCAGAGTAAATGATAAGGATAAATTCCATCAATCAATTTTCTGTTTTTTCTTATTATTTCTAGATGTTTACGCATTTTTCACTTGCCACAAGGTTGAATGGTCAGGTTAGTACCGACAGTGTGCCGATTAACTACACCGTTCAAAAAGAAAGTATACTCATCCGAAAAACACACATTAAATAGGAAATTATTATCATTTGCCACTCGTTCACTCATAGTTTTACAAAATTGCAAGCGTCGATCAAAATCGTCTTCGTTGAGTTCTTGTACCAACTGAATTTTGTACGGGTGGAACTTGTGTTTTTTTAATATCCTTTGGACAATTGTACGATTCACGCCGGTCTCATTGGCTAATTTTCTTGTACTCAGCGTACTATCTATGGCAACTTGGCCCAATACGAATACCTCCATAGCTTCATTTACTACAGGATTTTCCCTCTGCCTCTTTTATTCATTACGGAACCAGTTTCGCGAAATTTTGCTACTAACTCGCGAACAATTTTGCCATAAAGGTGTTTGTCAGGATAGCGTTCTTTGAATATGTGTCCAACCAGATACATTCATTATTTTTAAAATAAAGTTCGATTACTTCCACTTTTTCTGCAAGTGAGTACACTATAATTGTTAAAAAGTTTAACGATATTGAGAAGAACTTCAACGCACCACTCACAGAACAGCTATCTAGCAACTACCGCAACTGACCGTTCAACTTTGTGGCAAGTGAAAAAATGCGCAAACATCTAGAAATAATAAGAAAAAATAGCAAATTGGTCGAAGGAATTTATCCTTATCATTTACTCTGACAAATAATTAAATAAACTTTTCAAATTTCAATCCTTCATATTTTCTCAATGACTCGACCGATTTTCAAAAACGAAGCGCACATTAATAAAAATGACTATGACTTGTACCAGACAGAAAAGCAGTCGGGTTTCAGAGCCGGTTCCTCAACGGTAAATAATATTTTCTGCATAACACAACTAAGTGAGAAAGTGTTAACTATAGTGGAGAGATACACGTGATTTTTGTAGACCTAATCAAAGCGTATGATTCTATCCCAATAAAACAACTTTTTCACGTACTTGACCTGTCACGGGTTTATTAGGGTAATAAATATTACCCTAATAAAAGCAATAAAGGAAATCTACAAGAACCCGCTAGCACGAGTTAAAATTGGAGCCGAACTCACATCATTTAATATAAGTAAGGGCCTCCGACAAGGATGTGGTCTATCTCCAATTTTATTCAATATTTACTTAGATGCAGCATTGGAACAATGGAGACGAAAATGTAGTGGAATGGGCATACCACTCGAAAATAAAACAATATATACCATTCACTACGCCGACGATCAAGTAATACTGGCCCGAGACGTAGATGACATTGAGTACATGTTTAGAAAATTAAATGACGAGTATGATAGATGGGGTTTACAAATAAATTTTAAAAAGACAGAATATCTATGCGTGAGCAACAAAGGACAAGACCTAGAAATGGAAAGCGGAAACAAAATAAAATCATGTACTGAATTCACATACCTAGGTACTAACATACATAATAATGGAAAAAGCGACAATACCATCAATAATAGAATCAACAAAGCCAGAAACATTACAGGGGCACTAAATTATATTCTTTGGCAAAAAAATATAAATACCACAACAAAAACCCGCATATATGACACTATAGTTAAGAGCACACGTACTTATGGCGATGAAGTATGGCAGATGAGCAAGTCCATGGAAGGAAAGCTTTTAGCAACTGAAATGGACTTCCTCAGAAGATCGGCAAGAAAATCAAAATTAGAAAAAGTGCGAAATGAGAAATAAGAAGAATAACGAAGAAAGAGATAACCATCATAGAAGAAATAAAAAAACAATTAATCTGGTATGGGCATGTGAACAGAATAGGGGAAGAAAGGCTACCAAAGAATATAATGAAATGGATCCCAACCGGAAAAAGAAAACGAGGAAGATCCTGAGAGACATGGTTAAAGGGGGTAACAAAGGCAATGTCATTGCGCAATTTACAAGCCGATGACTGAATGGACAGAAGGCAATGGCGGCAAGGAACTGGAAGGAGTTATTTATAATATTTTCGAACTTAATTGACAACCGATTTTTTTTTATAAAAGCTTAAAAAAATAATAAATTTTAAATTAATTAACGTTCGGGTTTATTTTTTATTGATGCTCCCTAACGGGTAAACAGATAAACAAGGCACTTTTGTATTTAGGTAAATTAGGTGCAATTAGCTTATATTGATTCAAAAAATATGTAGTTGTTCTATGTCCACAAAATATTGGAATTTTCTGTATATTTTATAGGTCTGCTTTCGAATAACAAATAAAAAAAAATAAATAAAAAAAAGTTTATTATCAAAAACTATGCGATGTGGCGTTTTTTTACAAGAGACGAAAAATGTAGTAAATACTAGAGGGACCATTTTACGAAATGAAAATCTGTCGTCGGTAGAGTTGGAAAATATTTATACTAAAATTTATGTAAGGGTGGGGGGTAGTTTTTACCCTTCCCGTACTTTTTCTTGATTTTTGTAAAAGTCAAATGTTAAAGTACTTAGCAAAACATAGACACCCAAAATCTCAATCAAATCGGAATAACGTTTCTTAAAATATCTGAAGAAATGTGATTATTTTTTTAAGTTTGATGCCTTCTAGCGGACAAAGGAAGCACTTTTGAATAGAGAGGTAAATTGAGTCCAATGAACTTATTTTGATTGCAAAAATACGTTGTAGTTCTATGTCGACGGAATATGTGGACACCACAGTGGACCAAGTTTTATAAACTTCATACATAACTTTTAACACTTGATCCTTCAAGTAGTTGCGACGTTACCATTGTATCTAAAGCTATAACTTAAATTATTAAATTATTTTTTAAATTTTTTTGAAAAAAATCATAAATATTTGACTTTTAATGGGGTTTAAGCGCATGATAGTAAACATGATATATTAGTATTAGATATTAAGCATTATAATATATTAGTTCGATTTTAAGCTTTCTGTGCTTTTTTTTGTGTGTAAAAATTTGTGTACTTTTAAATTACATTTTACAAATTTGATCTTCTTCTTTCAATTTTACACTCAAGTAACGCCGAATATTCTTGTAATATTCAAATTTATTTATTATTTTAAAATTTATATTATATAAAAATAGTTGATTATAAAATTTTTCTTAAACTCTTTTTTGGGGTGTACAATATTTTTCAACTTTGTTTCTAAACCATATTCTGTTAAGTGGCAAGAATTCTTATATAATTTTATTATACACCTATACTGCAAGAAATTTGTTTTCCATTGTATAATTTGGGTTGCCTGAAAAAAGCATTTTACCATCCTTTTACTATTTATTGATAGTTGCGCCTCGGTGGTACGAAAGTACTACCAATGCACGCAGGCCGCTATCTCCCGTTCGGGACTTAATATACCGATACTTTCCGACAAGTCGGAATTAACTACTCTGCGCTGTGGTTGTCATTTTGTGGATCTGCCCAGGCTCACCTGATGATGGAGTAGGGCTCCGAAACCGGTAGTGAGAGCAGGTTGATCCACATTATGACAAACAAAGCGTGGAAGTAAATTTCTGTATCAGCAGTTAAGTGGCAAGAATTCTTATATAATTTGATTATATACCTATGCTGCAAGAAATATGTTTGCTATTTTATAATTTGGCTTTATAAAGTATCTTTTATTCAATCAGCTCGATATATTGACGATGTTACCAGTATTACTCGTCAAGCAATAAATACTACTGTTATATTAATCAATTAAGGCCGCGTAAAACAAACATAACATATACAATTTTATATACAATTCATTATAATAACATTAATAATAAACATATTGTAATTATATTCCTGCAGATTGAATGAAAAGTTTTGTTCTTAATTATCTACTCTACATATTATAAACGCGTGTTCAAATGTTAATTTTGTGGAATACATATATACTATCAACATAAAACGAGTTGTAATTAACGAAATATCATCGTAACAA